ATAGTCTCTAGAACCTGACCATTGATGGAAAAGTAATTATCACCAGCCAAAATACGTACAGTAAAATGGATTCAAATTACCTGCAGACGAGAACGTACTCGCTAATACTATAGTATGCTGAAGATATGACGTATTGAGACTCTTGAATAGTTTGATTCGCTGTGCTGAAACACGTTCAAATCTGAGACGAAAAGTCAAAACGGCTATTTCCTAAGACAACGACCTCTTGAGTAACTTCCAAAGAGTGAAACATTGAAGGAAGAAAACCTACTATTAGTAACGGTAATTTGAAAATGCTATCTTGATATCTTATGACTCATATCCTTGAATTACTCAAACTTGATGTGTTAACTACACCCTTGAAACATCCCGCTTGATCAATCTTGAAAAGATTGAATTTCATTCTTTGTATCAAAATAATAAAACCACGATTCTTCATTAAACAAAAAGATGTTTTATGATACCGATCTTTGAAAACTATACCTTGTGGAATACGTGACTCGATCACAATAGTAAAACTACCTTGACTTGAACATTATGCTAAACCTCTCTTTGTGGACCACAAAACAATCAGTACAATTACGTTATCTCTAAAGATCATTATCGATGATCTTATTGAGTTTATTTGGTTGCTATGAGATAAAATTAAATTTAATAGAGTCAAATATAATTAATGTTACACCTAAATGTAATGGTGTAGATCAAATATGAAAATTATAACACTAAATGTTGCCGCTAGAGAGTCTTTTCAAAATGCTAACACTAACATCTAATGTTATTGACTAATATTGAGTGAATTGGTTTGAAACTAATCAAATTAACTCCAAAACCAATAATATTTTTTGTAATTGGATGCAATTAAGATAAAATTTAGTTATTCCATACTTTGATAAAATAGACTATTATTCTTGTAACATCTTATTTTGTAAAATTTTTGATGTATTTTTTAAATATTTAGACATTTTTTATTTCTATGCCAATCTTTAAATAAAATAAATTTTAAAAA